TAGGAGAGAATGAGACAGTAGTCCACTCGAAGAAACTCAAAAAAGTTTGTTAGAGACTTTTCTGCAACTTGTGATTCTATGATTGGTTCAAGATTTTTACTTTAATTATATAGTTTAATTATATTAAAAATATTAATACTTTATTTGTGAGTCACTATTAGGGTTAATTGTGTCCATAGTTAATTAAAAATATTTAAATACATATGTGAATAAAATAATCGATGGATTCTTCTAGTCGGTGGGACATATGCTTTTACTAATTCTATCTTGTTTTTAAGCTTGTTTAGGAAAGTAATTAAGAGCCGCTCCTTAATCTTCTGCTTTATGAAGAGATAATTAGTGAGCTTCTCGAATCACCCGAAGGTCGCGCATGTAACCACAAACGGCCAACCAAACATATAAAAATGTTATCTCGGTTTAATGTATTTTTTATTGTAATCACAAATGTCGTTATATTTTCCAAAACAATTTAACTATCTTTTCTAAAATCATTTTTCCAAAAATTTTTATAACATAACATTATAAAAAATATGATATCAAAATTCATCAAATATTTATTCAACTAATTTAGCTCACTAAAACATGAAATTTATATCTATGAACTAATCTCGCAAAACCATTTAAATTTATCTCATTAATTCAAAAACTACATCCACAAAAAGTTTGTGAGAAAACTACTTTTATTATTGTAGCTAGCCCACTAAAACTTATACACATAAAAATTAATCTCACAAAACTACTAAAATTTATCAAATTTCCTTTTTCATTCGAAAATTATATGTAAATTTTCGTTTCTCATTTGAAAATAGTTTAGAAATAGATTATTGTAATAATAAAATTATAAAACATTTTTAATAAAATATATATTCTGTTTGAAATTAATAATAAATACTTATAATTTATTTAAAAGAAAATTTAATATGTTTTATGAAAACAAATTCCTAAATTTATAACAACAACTATAATTATTCTTTTGAAATAGTTTTTTAGAGAAATTTCAAAAAATGTCACTTTTTAAGTGACACTTTACAAAATACCACATTTTTGATATTTTTACAAAAATGCGACTTTTTTAAAATGAACATAAACTATTTTTTTTTGGTGATTCTTTGGTTCTTGTTTCTTCCAGGCATCTTATTGCCTTTCCCAATGGAAATAAGGTTGATTACTTGTCTCTGTACCTTGAAGTCGCCGATTATGGATTGTTGCCTTTAGTATGGAGATGACACGCACAGTTTCGCCTCTCTATAGTAAATCAAAATTGAGAATTGCTCTCCAATATTCGAGGTGATTACTTATGCGCATGCTTCGTTTATGATATTTGAAGAATCATAGTTTATGACACTACAATTTCATGGGATTTTTGCAATGCTTGTTTTTCAGTAACACAACACTGGTTTGATCAGAATTTACCATGTTTTAAATCCATGTTTCTTTTTACCAAACTTCATGGAAAGAAAAGTGGATTTATGATGAATGGAAAAGTCACTGGTTTATGATGTTCTTCAAGTTGTTGGAAAATCATATGTATCAAAGGAACATCAATTCCAAACTCCGAAAAAGTTTAAGACAAATGATGATGGTGCAAAATCTAACGATTTTCTCAAGAAGCGATAGTAAGAATTGATGTTAATGGGTTTTAAGTTCTTTCTTCACAGGTAACAAACTTAAGAATACTTTAGAAAAACCTGAGTGATCATATGTGTTCTACATTTGACTGCTTTTCCTCGATTTCTCGGAGAAGGTGTGGTGGCTCTTTTTTTTTGTTTTTCTTCTGAAAAAGAGTCTCTTAAAGTATCATACAAGCAAATTCTAAAACCAGCATGTCATATTCTGTAACCATGTCGCCAAAAACGGCTATACTGTTGGCTCATACATCCTCTTTTCACTCGTAGGTAGAATCTGTGAGGCGTATCTTTAAAAGGCACCCAGACTTTGCATCAAAATTCCGTCCAAAGGAGCGGATCCTGAAGTCGACATACATGGATGTTCTCCTCGGACTGATTGGAACATTCTGCCAGTTGCACAAGAGCTCTCTGATGTTGATCTGAATGAAGCATCGGTTACAATGGCATACGTTGCAAATAGAGGCTTTAAAGTTGAGTGGTCGGATAGGAGAAAAGAAGTGGGCTTCCAATGTTGCTCTCTCCTTCGATGATTTTGTTTGATGCTCTACAAGTTGTCATGAACTTGTTGTTTGATTTTTACTTGTTAAGTTGTTCTTGTTGTTTCTTGGCTCCAAATATGATCGTCTTCTTTAAGACAAAGAATCATATGTTTGATGCTTTTGTAGTACTTCGTAATGAATTCATTTGGTTTAAAGCTCAAGAACTAACTGATACCAGAGTCTGTAACTGAATAAGGTGATGAGATAGATTGAAAAACAGAGTACTCTGTTACTTACTTCTAGGTCTCTTTTTTTTCTTTCTTTCTAATATATAAACCTTATAAGGAAAGTTCAGATGTCTATACTAAACGTAAATAAATTGTTATTAACTATATAAGATTTTTTAATCATTCCTGGTGAATCTTCATTTATGTTCTTGTTTGGTTTTAATTCGGTTTAATTCTTGGTGAATC